AAGATTTACTTCGTAATTTTTAATATTAGATATTTTGAGTTTTTATGTATTTTTGCCTTCTCGCGAAGTGAGAACTGAATTAATTGAATGAGAAATACTCAATCGTCTGTGGAAAAACTGTTTCCGTTTTTGTTTTGTTTGCTTAATTTCTTTTATACAGCATTCTAGCTTTATTATAGTATTTGAATAGAACATGTGTCAACGATTAGATAATTCTATTCTTTAAATGATATAAATTTTGTGCATTATGAGTTATAATATGAACGAAATATAATACTGTTAAGTGAATCTAGCGCCAGAGTGTCACTATGGTAAACAAATATTAGAGTGACTTTTAAAGAATGCATTTATTCTTTTGTGGTTTATGCGCTGTCGGCGAAGTGGATTTAATTCAATCCAATAAGTTTAAATGAAATGCAAGAAAAAATGCGTATAATTTAATATTCCGTACAAGGAAGGTCATGTGGTGTACACATCAGATTTTTTTAATTCTATTCACCGAACACATCGTCTGTGCTGCATTTTCAGGTAAGCACTGTTTATTGTAAATTGAAGTGAACGATATCAGTAATAATTAATATGTAATAGTAAAAGCTAATTTAAATGCTAATACTAATATAAAAAGAAATACTGGCAGTAGATTAAGTTTTATTTGTATTACAAAGAGTGCGGAAGCAAGGGCCATTTTCAAAAGTCATCTTATTTTTGTCTCACTGCTTAGAAAGGTTTATTTGGTAGATATAATTCACTTTTTGTTGTTTTTAATGTTAAAAGATAATGTGAAAAAAAGAATTGATTTTATGCATTTTACTGCAGTACTTTCATAGTGTTCAGCTATTTTTCGAAATTATTCGCAAACTAATTACTTACTTCCATGCGTGGTACTTAGTGCCACATTATAAATAATGCAATACTTTCATAACCCCGTTTTAGTTATATAGAACACGTTTTTTAATTATTATCACTTTACAAATGGTGTATTACTTTAAAACACTTTTCTACATGTTTCCAATATGTAAATTTCTGAGTTATTATGTCAGATCTTTTCTTTTCTTTGTCACTTTGACGTATAATATATTTGTGTTGTTAAGTAACCCAATTTCTTTATTAAGAGATTTAGTTAGAGAAAAATATTTCCTAGTTTAGGTCAAATTATTTGAATATGGCAAATCATACGAGGGCTGTCTACTTAAGGGATGCCTTTGTGGAGGACTTTCTAAGGAAACTAATTCGTATTCACTTTATATATTAAGAAAAACATGAAAACTTGTGCAAGAGTATTTGTTACTTGAGAGATTAAGAGAATATATTTATGGTATTAATTTTTTAAATAGATACATGCTATTTAAATGACAACAATATAAAAATAAGGAAATTACATTTCATCGTTACTTATATATGAAGGAAGTTAAAATTACACTTGTGACAATACTATTATTACTATGTGACATAATATAAAATCTAAAAGCTTTCAGATTTTTATTTATCACTTTATTATTGTAATAGTTATTAGTTCAAATGGGCAATTTGTAAAGAACTACAGATTTCGTTTTGGCATTTTGCGTCGATTCCCCATCACCGTTGTTTCACTTTTCAAATTGATGGTGCCACCAAATATTATTACCCTGTATTATATTTAAAGTAATTAAATAACGAACAATCTGCATGAACGTATGCATGTTTCTTCAATTGTGATAAAACAACGCTACCTAGAGCCATCGAATTTAGAACGACTTCATCCTACTGCGAATAGGGGCATCTGGTAGCCAAATTTGAAATTTGTTTTATATTTTGTAAAACTTTAAGGAATTTTTCATTAACAAACGCAAGGATTTCAAAGCGAGCAATGGCAACGTTGTACAGGAAAAGCATTCTTATCTCCAGCGCGCGATACTATGCGTCGGAAAGTCTGAAGTTATTTAATATTATTTTGCGATATTGCTCTTGAACTGAGTTTCATCGTTTAAGTGTGATGATGATATTTAATAAATAAAGGATGATGATACATGATATTTAATAAATAAAGGTAACACACAAAATGTTAAAAAAAAAAAAAAAAAAAAAAAAAAAAAGCTCCTTTGTATGTAATTTACACATTACATGTATTCTCTGGAAATATGCATAGTATTCGTCTTGTTTTGATTTGACAAATTTTATTTTTGCAGAACAATAAGCATTATTATTATTATTATTTTTAGTGTCCACTAGCTTTATGTGTCGCTTTCCAGGACTCTGTGAATGAAAATGTCCTGAACGGTGACATCTAAAACTATACCAGGTAACTATACCAGTGGCATTTGGTTTTTCAGATACATGTTTTATAAATTTCGACTTTGTTTTATTTTCTAAATCATCTTGCCATTCAAGAAAACTTTCATAGGATTCAAATTTTAATTCTGATGTTTCAAGTTTTGCATCAAGAACTTGTAAAAAGTGTTCATTTATCAAATCATTTTCAAAATCATCTTTACACTAAGGACATTTGTTCTGTCTCTTAGTTGAAATGTGATCACCATTGCAACTAGAGTCACATATTTTGAGTTTGGGTGTTTAACATACTTTTAAATTTAGAGATTGCAATCAGAGTCGTAGCTAGGGTTTTCAGCGCCCAGGGACAACTGAAGATTTCGCGCCCCCTACTGCTTGCCAAGGATGGAAAACATTTAATTCTAAAATGTCGTAACATCAGTTTGGCGCCCCTTGGATTCTGCGCTCGGGAAGCTTAATGGCAAACCGCACATTGAGTTGATCAGTGTTAACGAATTTCGCTTACTGCGCATGCTCAATGGTGTACCGCTGGCGTGGGAGAAAACACTGGCGACTAAGCATAAGCAACCTTACACAAGTTACCTGTTCGTCATGTAGGTCTTATCGACTGTCTGACCTTTAATTCTGTAATTTAAACTAGATTTAATCCTTAATTTGTTAAAGTATATACGAATGGAAAGTATGTTAAATACTCAGTTGTTTTTATTCCTCAGAAATATAATCAGCTAATATATCTTGTAACGTTTCCTGTTTGTAATCCTTTTTAAAAGAAAATTTGGGTAGTTTACAATCGACATTTACATTCCAAGTAATGAAGCTTACAACCTGACACGCCCGTTTAGAATACGCCCGTTTAGAATAGTTCTTATGTTTAGAATACGCCCGTTTAGAATAGTTCTTATGTTTAGAATAGTTCTTAAAAGACTTTAAACACGCAAAAACAAACGGTGCCCGATTCCTAAATCATTATTATTAAAGTGGGCCGCAATAATATATGTTTTAAATAATTACGTTTTTATTTTTATTACTGTTATTTTTATCTAAAATAATAAGAATTAAATCAGTTTTCATGCTTAAAAATATGTTATATTTTTAATGTACACTCTTTTGCAAAAAAATCGAAGCACCATGAAGGAAAAGGTTATTTTTCATGAAATTCAATATGTGTATAGCTTATACACAGATAATAAAATGATTAAAAAAGCAAGGTCATAGTACCTGTTCACGGCTTACAATCACCTATTGAGTGTCCAAATTAGTAGTTTGTCAAACCTCTCTTGGCGGCAATGCATGCTTGAATTCGTCGAGGCAAGGAGTAGTAGAGGTTCCTAATGTCATCCTGCGACACATTCTGCCAGGCATTCATCAGTTGTCGCTCCAGATCTGCGATATTTTATGGTGCCCGAATCTAGCGGCCTACCATGTCCCAGACATACTCGATTGGTGAAAGTTCTGGTGACCTTGCTGGCCAAGGAAGAGTATCAACCGCACGGAGACAGTCCAGAGATATGCGAGCGGTACGTGGCCTGGCATTATCTTGTTGGAAAATAGCGACAGGATGACGTGACATGAAGGGTAATGCAACCGGCCGCAGGATGGTATCAACATATCGTGGAGCTGTTAACGATGTAAGGAGGATGACGACTAAAGATAACCTGCTGTCCTAAGAAATAGCGCCCCACACCATCACACCAGAGATTATTACTGTATGCCTTTGTAAAACAAAGGCCGATTGGGACTGGCCCTGTCCTCTCCATACACGAACACGGTGGTCATCTGCTTCAAGAGGGAAGCGAGATTCACCGCTGAACACTATATGATGCCAGTTTCATGACAGCCATGATGATCGGCTGCGACACCACTCCAGACAACTCCGTTGTAGGGTCAAAGGCACTTTCATACTACTTAGGACGATTCAAAGGAATAAAAATTTTCACACCCTGAATACCTACTAAATCTTCATCAAAGATTTTAATAGTGTTTAAATTTGTATTTCTTATTGATTTATGAAAATTTTTGCAAAATTTTAAAAATCGCCTATTGTAGATATTGTGATTGTTTTTGCGGAGATGAAAGGTCACATGGATGTCCTCCTACACGCAAAATACACGAACAGTTACTACACGAACAGAACTACACGAACAGTTCCGGAGAAATCGTCGAGAAACGTTAACATGGGGTTCGAAATCACCATAACCCCCATGGTGTAATGAAATTTTTTGACATAAATAATAGGGCTCCCCTCTGGTATATTAAGCCCCAAACCGCGTTTGAATCGGACTCATAGGGACCGAGAAAATCGGGACCAAAGTAGGCCGCCATTCTACGGGTTAGCCCTTTGTACGGTTTAGAGCGTCCATATGGATCTCGGATCCTAATTGGGATACAGAGATAATTTCTTTAAAATCCTAGAGAGTCTCGAGGCAAACATTTCGGCAATTTCGGTTTTTCAATAGTGTTTAATTTTTTTTTTTTTTTTTAACGATTTTTGAATATTTTTGCAAAATTAAAAAAATTGCTAAAAATCGCCTATTGTAGATATTGTCACCATTCTTGCGGAGATGAAAGTTCAAATGCGTGCCCTCCTACATACAAAAAATAGCGATTTTCTATCGAGCAGTTCCAGAGAAATCGTCGAAAAACGTTATCATGGGTTGGAAATCACCTTGACCCCCCCATGGTGAAATGAAATTTTTTGAAATAAAAAAATAGGGCTCTCCTCTGGAATATTAAGCCCGAAACCACGTTTTAATCGGAACCATACGGACCGAGAAAATGGGGACCAAAATTTGCCGCCATTGCGCGGGTTAGCCCTTTGTATGGGTTAGGGATCCATATGGATCTCGGGTCCTAATGGGCTAGCGAGATAATTTTTTTAAGTCATAGAGCATCTATTAAACAAAAATTAGGTATCAACTGTGAAAAATTATGTATTTTATTGACTAATTATGACACTGATTTTTGTGTGTAGGCTGCAGTATAATGTTTCTTGACAGCTCTGTTTAACGCAGCTCAAACAATCAGAGGAAGATCTGAAGTATTCTGAGAGATCTTTATCGGTACTCTTAGAAAGAATGTATTCTGGGAAATGTTACTTACTGCAGCTCGCATATGTAATTAGTCTGACGTGCGTTTAAGAAATGACAGCAAAGAAAACATACTTTTTCTGCCATCTAGGAGTAACGATACGTAATTAAAAGTGCATTTACTTATTAATTAATTTTAAAATGCGATTACATAAGACATGCAGAACAGGGCCTACCCGTGGATATAAGGTACCCTTGTCCTATGCATTGTTTCACTGTCCTCATAAAATATAATAATCTAATTGATTTTAATAGGCAGCGCAAGAAAACATGGAGATTTTTAACATTAATCTATGAAGCTTTTCATTCAAATGAATTGTTAAGACACGTAAAAAAAAGAATTAGGCATAGCTGTTTCGGTACCGTGACTAACCATCTATGGTCCTCTAATATTTCAATAGCAAATAGTACATATTTCTGGTACAACAGTTGTACCGCCGGTTTCAGAAAGTTAAATAGAATTAAGGGGCACGTAACTGAGGAATAGCGGGACTCGTATGTTGACAAGTAACAGTATTTAATGGTCAGAAAACGTACGGCATCTAGTGCAGGGATGGGCAAACTACGGCCCGCGGGCCGCCTCTGGCCCACCGGAAGTTCCTATCCGGCCCACGAATAGAATTTTAATTTGCCGGTCCGAGGCAAATTAAAAGAAGTATATATTTATATATTATATATCCATCTCCTTTTCTACTTTGTTTAAATATTTTTTTTCTTCCTTTTTCCCAAAGGGCGGATGACATTTTTACTTTCTCTTTTTTTTGTTCTACAAAACATGAATCGATGGAAATAGCAAGCACAGAGAGCTTTCAATCGTCTTAAAAATCTTAAAAGCGGAAGTTCTTTGTTTGTTATAGCTGTAGATTGGCGCCAACAAGCGTTATCGCTTTCTCTAGCAGACATATGGGAATCTAATATAGGTGAATTAGACCTCTTTAGGCTGTGTTCAAACGGCGGCGTAAAGAGCATAGAGGCGTAGTCATAAGGGCATAAAATACGGGAATTCCGTTCACACTTGCGAGAACGGTGTGTAAGCCGTGGCCAATGAGAGAAGCTAAATTTATGAATGCGTAGATGTGTTTACAACTTTCCCGCGCCGTTCTCCTGCTCGATTGATTTGCCGCGTTCGCTCTGCTTGTTTTGTGACAGCGAAATCTTCTGTAGAACGGCGCTTCGTTTTAGCTTCGCTCTGATTGGTCGACGCTTATCCCAAACTCGGCGAAAAGTTGAGAACTTTGAACCCTATGCCACGAGCCCTAAACCAGATTTTGTGACGTTGCACAGATTGGTTGCCTTGGCAACGGAGCTCGGTTTTAACCACTTATGCTTTTTACGCCCCCGTCTGAACGAACGAACGTCTTTACGCCTCCGTGTATTATTTAGAAAAAAACTTAATCTTAACTAAATTATCTTAACTTAAAACTTAATAAAACTTTATCTGTTTGCTGGGCATGTAGCTAAGAACGACTTGTCTCATTGTCCGAGGTTAAATTCAATACCCTCAATAAATGAAGAGAAGCTTAAGAATTATATGAAGATGGCTTGAAAAAACTGTATTTTGAGTTCGCAGATTTCAGTGCAATTCAAACAGAACTGAATATTTTTACCATGGCTTTCAACGTAAATTGTGAAGCACTCAGGTCAGATTTGTAGCTTGAATTAATTGATTTGCAATCTAACAATCCTCTCAAGCAGTTGTTTCTAAATATGCCAAAGTTTGAGTTTTACAAATCATTATCGAAAGTGAGTTTCCCAAATTTAATATCTCACGCCCAGAAAATCAGTGCTATGTTTGCTTCATCTTATGTATGTGAACAAGTGTTTTCAACTATAAACTTTAGAACGAAATATTTCAGAAGTAGACTGATAAATGAGCATTTAGCCTCGTTCCTTAGAATCAGTACATCTCACTTCGAACTTCAAA